AGCGCGACAATGGTTTTTGATGAAATGAACAAATAAAGCTCCGAAACACTAACACATATAGGATATCCCGTTTACTGGTTTCCACGTCCGGCACCACCTCCCATCATGTTCCGAGCCCTGGGAGATACATGTTAGTTGCAATACAATGTACCGGGTATGTCATGTCACTTACATATCGGCAATGTTGGGGTCACTCATCAAAGAGGACATGTCGGGCATACCACCGCCACGGCCGTAGTTCTCAGCCATCTGTCTCAGCTGGGGGTTGCTCATGAGGTTGTTGAGCATGTCAGGGTTGCTCATCAGGTTCTGGGCCATGCTGGCGAACATAGGGTTGCTCATGATGGAGCTGAGGTCGGGCATACCGCCGCCACCGCCGCCGCCACCTCCTCCGAGCATGCTAGCAAGGGAAGAGAGATCGGGCATACCGCCACTACGGGAAGCACCAGCAGCATCATCAACAGCATCAGCGGGAGGCTCGGTGCTACGCTTGGCCTCCTCGATCTTGCGCTTAGTAGTCTCCAGACCCCACTTCATGGCCTCACTACCACCGTTGCCCTCGGCCGCAATACCCTTCTCGTAGGCCTCCTTGGCACCGTGGTAATCAGCCAGGTCAAAACGAGCCAGTCCCAGACGGCTCCAGGCCTTGGAGTACTTGGGGTCAACAGCAGTGGCGAGCTCGGCATCCTCGGCCGCCTTCTCGTGCTGTCCAGCCGCGGAATAGGCAGCAGCCCGGTTGGAGAGGTAGATGGGGTTCGAGGGAGCAATAGCCAGAGCCTGGGTGTAGAGGTCGATAGCGGTGGTGTAGTCCTTACGGGCCATGGCACGGTTACCCTCGGACTTCAGCTTGTCGGACTCGGGGGTGGGAGCGCCAGCCGCGGGCTTCTGGCTTTCGGCAGACTTGGCAGAGTCGCCGGTGGGCTTGTTGCGAAGCTTCTCGTAGACACTGTAGATGTTGGCCAGGGACTGTCCACCCACGGCATCCTTCACAGCAGCCTCGTTGGAGGGATCAACCTTGAAGGTATCGGCGATACAGGACTGGGCGATCTCGATGGATTCGGCATCGTCGGCGGTCAGGGTGCCATCCTTCAAGCTGGCACCGAGGAAGTCAATGATGGCGAGCGCGAGGCGCTTCTTGGACTCTGTGGGAGCCTAGAGAGGGGGAAGTTAGATTCTGATCATGATAACACGATGATCGGCTGCGCAAAGAATCAATCTTACCATTGTGTGAGGTATAAGGGGGTATCACAGAGAATGGAAATGTCTTATCACGAGCAAAGTAAAGGCGTCGCGGGGGGAAATTGGATGCGGGGGCTTGCAGGATGTTTGGCCTGTTTGTCACCGGAGCTTCCCTGCACGTGATACCCCGTGCTCCCGAGCTGGATCCAATCCATATCCACATTCCCAACCGTCATCTTCATCCATCGCTGTCAGTAAGACTCTTGGGTGGATATGGTCGGTACTCGCGGGATCGCATCTGTCCCGACTCCGACGGTTTAAGTTTTCCGCGTCTGACGAAGATGACTCGATGTGAACTTGTTGATATACTTCGTGACTCTCGCGCCTGTGTCGAGCCATGTACTGGCCCAATGGAGTTCCCCGGGTCTATGCGATCAATGGCCCTGCAATCCCGGTTACAATCTCCGAAGACGATGATTTAATAGAGTACGAGAGCTCTGCGGAACAGGGCTTGTCGTTGAGAGAAAATGAAGCCGACAAACCGACGGGGACGACGGACTCGGCCTGGGCGGATGAGCCCATTACGGGGCTTTGCGTTTCCAGGAGTGGGTTCATGTTTGCGACGATGACTGATTCGTCAATTGCTATATGGCAGACTAGAGTAGGTTCCTATTCTTGAAAACCTGTAAGATGCGCATGTTGACTGGCAGTTAGCCCACCGCTGTTGTAGCTGCGGTTGCTCGGTCCGCCTCTTCCCTGGAGAACTATGGGCCTAATGTAGCTCTCCTGATGCACCCGGATTCGACCATTCTCGTTGCCCAGACGCTGAATGGATACCTTTTGACGTACACAATTGCTGTTGGCCCTACCACCCGTGTGTATCAACATCACTTCGATCAGACCAGTTCGACTCGCCGTCAGCAGCTTGCGCGCTTAACAGCCGAGGAAGAGGCCACTGGGATTCGAGATGTCAGCGTTCGCTTTAGAATGGCGATCAAGATAGAGTCGGGCATTGCGAAAGCCCTTGCGCTGGATAATGAACTCGTCGTCGCCACGGTGAAGCCGGCTGCTATTCAGTGCATCCGATGGATGCCTGATGCAGATGGCTCCCAGACACAGTCTGAGCTTCTGAGCCGTATCCTGGGTGTGTCTAAGCGCACATCTATTACGGATATGGTGTATGATCGAGCTATTAATATGCTAGTATGGATTACCAACGAAGGCCAGGCGTATGCCGTCCAGCGCACTCCGGAAGGCACAACGGATTCGGAGTCTCCCAAGAAGCTTTTCCAAGGACATTGCTTCCACAACCCCGAGGATGAGGGCACGAAAGCCATGAAGGTTGCGGTCAATGCCCGCTTCTCGCTTCTTACTGTCAACTGCGCAAACGGCGATATTCTGGTATACACGGCTAAAGACTACATGGGGAATGTTCCTCTCTCGCATCGGCTTCAACTACCAGCTTCCCTTGCTACAACCGGTAATCTGTCATTCATGTCCTATTCGCCCGACGGTTATTGCCTTTTTGCGGGTTATGAGCGTGGATGGACGACATGGAGTGTGTTTGGCAAGCCCGGTGGGACCAGCTTCACGGCAGATCGGACACTGGCCAAGTCGAACGATGAGGACTGGGTGACTGGGGTATCTCACGGCTGTTGGATAGGCGGGGGAGCTGAAATCATCCTTACGGGTCAGAATGATCGTCGATTGTGGATACTCGAAACCGCTCGCAGTGCCTTGACGGGCTGCTACTCTTCTGCGAACCTGGCTCGGGGTCTCTTGCAGACCGGGACGGAGATTATCCTCTACCGCGGCCACGACCTACCTGATCTCATGACTATCTCGGGTAAGGATTCACTCTGGCACCATGCGCAGTACCCGCCATCCTATCTGCATTCCCAGTGGCCCATTCGCTCCAGCGTCGTCTCGCAGGACGGGAGGTACGTAGCCATTGCTGGCCGGCGTGGACTTGCACACTATAGTGTGAACAGCGGCCGCTGGCGAGTGTTTGAGGACTCCAAGATTGAGAATTCGTTTGCCGTCAGAGGCGGCATGTGCTGGTACGGCCACATTTTGATTGCTGCCATCGACAACGATGGATCTTATGAGGTGAGTCAACAGGGATGAGTGTACACCAAGTACTAATTATTGTCACAGCTCCGGCTCTACTCCCGAGAGAGTCCCTTGAACAACCACACGATCTTGCATATAGAATACCTTCCTTCGCCTGTCGTCTTCATCGGGCCGTCAGGCGAAGACTCCCTTCTTGTCTATACCTATGATAATATCCTCTACCACTACATCATCAACTCTGCACACTCCCGAATAACACTGGTCCCGGTTGGTCAGATTGCTTTTCATGGCATCGTGCGGGCACCGACCCGCGTGCGAGCGATCAGCTGGATCTTGCCTGAGGATCAGATGCGTAAGTGTGCTGCTTCTGGGTGGTTACATATGCTGACTGCAGTAGGTAATGGCGATCCATCGCAGGATGTCAAGGTCGCATCAGTCCTCTTATTAGTCGACGGCAACTTGGTTCTGCTGCAACCATCGACGTCGGAGACTGGAGAGCTTAAGTACGACATGCGTGTGGTATCGCACGAAGTCGAGTACTACATTCTAATGAGGGACCAGTTGTCCTTCAACTTTGCGCCATCGGTGGACGAGTCAGTCCCGGCTAGTCCGGCAGCCGAGATGGCGTTGAACATGTATCACAGCAACTTGTCGCTGCGGGACTCATTGTGGACGTTCTGCGGGAAAGAACTCCTTTCATGGAGCGATGTGCAGGATGTGCTGCACCGGGAAGACGTAGCGAAACCGCTCGAGGTACCGCTGGACTTTTACCCTCTGTCAGTTCTACTGAACAAAGGCATCGTGCTGGGAGTGGAAGCAGAGATGACCCAGCGCCGCGATGTCACGTTCTCCGTGCTGAAATTCGCCATCCGAGTAAGTTGCCCTCTGGTCTTCAAGACTGCTGCTGACCGTATAGACACATCTATTTCTTCCATACTTCCTCCAACATAGCCTGACACATGGCGACATGCCAGCAGCGCTGTCGTTATGCCAACATTTCTCCCACCTCTCCTACTTCCCACATGCCCTAGAAGTCCTGCTGCACCACGTCCTCGACGACGAGGTCGACAACGCCAGCAAGGACAGCAAGACCGACGACCCATCACAGAAACACAGCCCCCTTCTCCCGACGGTCATATCGTTCCTCCAGGCATCCCTACCCGCCACCGTATACCTTGACATTGTCGTCCAGTGCACGCGCAAAACAGAACTCCGGTCCTGGCGCACCCTGTTCACATACCTCCCTCCCCCGAAGGATCTGTTCGAGCAAGCACTGAAGCTCAACTCGCTCAAAACAGCAGTAGGCTATCTTCTAGTGCTGCAGGCATTCGAAGACGAAGACGACGACCACGACTCGCCTATCGAGGACTATGTCGTCCGTCTGATGTACCTCGCGTCGCGGAAGAACGACTGGGAGCTGTGTGCAGAGCTGGCTCGGTTTTTGATAGCGCTCGACGGATCAGGCGATATGCTGCAACGGGCCGTGACGCGCGCGGGGCTACGAGATGGCAATCTCCCAGGGACGGGACTGAATGGATCAGGAACGAGCGTGAAGGGGCTAGGACTGGCGATCCGCACGCCATCATGGTCATCACTCTCACCGACATCATTGTCACCGCGACCTGAATCAGACCGTCATGCCTAACCTTATACAAGTGTACATAATACCACATACAAGAATAACAGAAGACATAGACACTTTTACTTTCATTCACATACAAACATAATAATAAAAAATCATATCATAGCCACAGCTCAACCCCAACCCCAATCCAATCCCCAATCAAACTGGTATCACACCCCCTCTCATACTCCCTCAAACCCCCACGACCCCAACCATAATCTCCCTCCGGTCGACAGACACAGATTAATCAAGATGATACCTCCACAACCCATCCCCAAGATAATGCCCCTCATCCAACACCACCCCCTTCCCGACCTTCTTAATCTCCTCCGTACCGACCTTCAACACGCCCACCAAACAAACCGTCTCTTTCCCCTCCGCCTTGACCGCAACCACCTCCCCAGCCGCAATCTCCTTCTCCCCACTCTCCACATCGGGCAATCTCCCCCCAGCACTCGTCAACCCCGGCGCCATGAGCGCCGCACCAGACAAGACGAAACGAATAGCTCCTCGGTCGATCTGGATCGTGGGCAGGGCGTCCGGGTACGCGTGGATGAGTTTCAGGTGTGGGATGGGCGGGCCGTCGAGCGGTTGGTAGAACAAGGGGGTGTTTTCGTGGGTGTAGAGGGTGGATCTTTCCGGACTAGATATACCCCCCGGAGGGGGGGGAGGGGTTAGTATATATGTTGTTCGTAAGAAGAGGGTGGTGGGTATGGGAGGTATGGAGCGTACAGCTTCACGGCATCAAGTTGGGCCTTCTTCGGTAGGACTTCTTCAATGTAGGGTTCGAATCCTGGGTATGTGTCTAGGAACCGTTGGCGGAGGCCGCGCTGCACGGAGGATTTGACTTTTGAGCGGTTGCTCGGGGGGATACTGATGCTCTTTGTTAGTGGTTGCTTGTGATGGTGAAGAGGATTGATAAGTATGCTGGTTTGACTCACTCCTTTTTAAACATCTTGCTGTGGTGTGGTGTATGTTGTGAATTCGGAGGCTATCGCAATCTTCACGCAGATCTGTTGCGGGGGATGTCACGTGGTCGGTGGGGTAGCTAGCTGCAGGTCTGCTATACGTACTACGTAGATATGAACTACAGAGTATGGCTACGGTACTTGATTACTCGTTACTGGTTACTGACTACTACAATGAAACATCAAGTTGAATGGCAAAATGGTATTGAGGCTATATAATCAATTTAACCACTTAACCACGGGCAGCACCCGCCTTGATCAACAGAATATCACCATCCTCCACAACGTAATCCTTACCCTTGGTCATCACCTTACCAGCGGCCTTGACGGCACCTTCGTCTCCGTACTCACGCAGAGTCGCGTAGTTGTACACAACGGCCTGGATAAAGGTCTTCTCAAAGTCGGTGTGGATAACACCAGCAGCAGCCGGGGCCTTGATGCCCTTACGGATGGTCCACTGGCGCACCTCATCGGTACCGGTGGTGAAGAAACTGGCCAGGTTCAGCACCTGACGCATGGTGGTGATCACCTTGGGCAGGGCCGACTTGGTGTTCAGGCTCTTGCACTCCTCCAGAGCAGCCTCATCGCTCTCGAAGCGGGTCAGACGCTCCTCGAACGAGACGGAGATGGGGATCAGGGAGTCACCCGGAGAGTTGGTCTTGATCCACTCGAACACCTTGGGCAGGTACTTGTTCTTCTGGCGGATGTAGTCCTTCTCACTCAGGTTGACCAGGTAGACAACCGGCTTGGCAGTGAGCAACATCAGGGGGTTGATGGTTTCAACCTAGACAAATCAGCATGTTGCCGAAACAATGATGCAGATGACAAAATAAATGATAATCATGTAAATCAGACGGGACGTAATCTCATGATGCCTCTACGTTGGAAAAAAATTTGAGACATTCGACGAGCTGGGTTATTTCGAGTAAAACTCTTATTCATCATAAAAAGGGGTGCAGGTGCAGTGCAGGATAGAAGAAAATGATGATAAACGTACCTCCTTGGGACCCCACTCGTTCTTGCGGACGTCCTTGCCGTCCTTGAGCCACTCGAGCACCTTGGCCACGGTGGCCTCCTCCTCACGCAGCTTCTTCATCTCGAGAGTCTGACCACCACGCTTGGTCTGCTTCTGAAGGTTCTCGAGGGCCTTCTCGACGAACTCGATATCCTTGATACGCAGCTCCTCGCTGATGATGGTCAGATCACGGATGGGGTCGACGTCACCCTCGACGTGGATAATCTCGGCATCATCGAAGCAACGGACGACCTGGAAGATGGCATCGACGGCACGGATGTGCGACAAGAAAGCGTTACCGAGACCGGCACCGGTGGAGGCACCACGGGTCAGACCGGCGATATCATAGACGGTCAAGTTGGCGGGAACCTGAGACTTGGGCTTGTAGTGCTCGCACAGCCAGTCGAAGCGGTCATCGGGAACAATGACACGAGCCTCTTCGGGGTCAATGGTAGCATAGGGGAAGTTGGCAGGGTTACCAAGAGACGACTTGGTAATGGCCTGGAAGAGCGTGGACTTGCCGACGTTGGCGAGACCAACCTAGAGAGGAGAGAATAAACATTATTATTTCCCTTCTTTGGCAATTACATTGTGTGTGGTGATTGCATGTTGAGAAGGAAAGAGAAGAGAAGGAAGAAAAAGAAAAGGAAAAGGAAGATATTTATAGGGGGGAAAGAAAACAAGCGAGAGGGAGAGGGAGGGAAGTTGGTAAAAAAAACAAAAGGGAAAAAAAAGACGAAAAGGGAGGAGGCTGGGAGGGGCAGAAAAAAAAAACACATAGTGTATGGTGGGGTCAATGCTCACATACGATACCACTCTTCAGGTTGTTTCCTGGACGGCCCAGCAGGACCTTTTCTTGAACGACGGCCTTCTTGGGGGGCATTTTGGACTTGGATGCTTTCTTCTTCTTGCTCGAGTAGGAGCGGCGGGAGAGAAAGAGGAAGGGCGGGGACGGAGAAGAAGGAGCAGCAGCAGCAAGCGAGAGTCGCAAAGAGGGGAAGGTAGTAGCAGCAGCAAAGGATGAAGCAGGACCAGCTGCGGAGCGATGAAAGCGGAGAGACGAAGAAAGGAAAAGAAAACGGGTGCCCGGAAGGGAAGACAGGATGGCGACGCCCACTTTGGCCGTGGGCAGAAGATTGATGGATAGAAGGATAGAAAAGATAGGTATGGAAAAGTATATCTACAGTGACCAAGGTGAGTGGCAGTTAGGATGACGGGCTGTAACTCTAGTGATTCAGTTCCTTGTATTCGGTGCCTCTACACAGTAAGTAACTTTGGCATCCCATGACGACTTGACTGACGCCGGTTCTTCGCTAATTTCATGTGTGCCTTTTTTTTCACTTTCACCGCCCACGTGAGAGCCCTGCCCTTGTATTGATGCCTCAGATTTGAGGCAGTATACAACTCAGAAGTATATCTTCAGCTCATACCAAACCTCATTCCTTCTGAAATTCAGTAAATATCGCGAATACCGTATTTTAAATGCGCCATACAGTACTGCTCTTGCTGCTTGACCATAGATAAGTTGTCATGGAAGGATGACTCCGGTGGTGAGTGACAGTAGCAGAAGGTCCTATTATATATCTCTCCAGTCCAGGATAATTATCATAAGAGTGCTGAAATAATGGTATTCGCGTTGCACCATCTCCAGTAAACAAGCATCAATGCTATCGATGAAGAAAAGCAGGAGACACCTTCAACCACACAGGCATCACCAACATAATATGATATAATACAGAAACAATACACAGTGTGCAAAGCAGCAGCGCAAGTATGACATGAATGCCCGCCGTATCCCAACCCATAACCCAGTCATTCCAGACTAGTATAAATGATCAATACCCAGTAGACGCCAGAATAACGCCAAGCAAACAATCAAACATGATACCCCATCACCAACTTAGGTCTCCATGGCATCTCCAGCCTCAGACTCGTTGTCCACAACTCCTAGCAGCTTCGCATAAGGCACCGTCACACGTTGAAGATCGCGATGTTTGCCTAGATCATGTTAGTTATGAGAAGATTACAAAATGGAGCAACGCAACATACCAAGAGCAAGAATCACCTCCTTCAACAACACCTCCCGTGGCCAGCCACAGAGGGTCTCCGAGCTTTCGCGCCAATTCCGGTCGTCCTGCTCGTTGTCCTGTAACCGGCGGACCGCGTCTGCGTCCTCCTCTTCGAAGAGCCCGCCAATCAATCCCTTCAGGAGCTCTTCGACCTTCATCTTCAGCCCCTCTGCTCCGATCCGCTTAGCGTACATCGACAGATACAGTCGGAACTCTTCCTTGGCGCCTAGAGACAACGCAGCAGCAAGGCGATTCTCAAGGTGGGCGATGGAGACACTGGACTCAAAGCTCTCATAGCCCTCCCGCGACAGCAGCACCTTGATCAGTCGCTGAAGGAAGTAGGCACGTCCACGCAGCAGCGTCTCATTTGTGGTGTTGCGCTCCAGGAAGGGAACAATTCCTGCCGACACAGCTGCCTTGGCGTCTTTGTCCTGCGAGTCTGTCGACTGGAGATTGCCCACAGGCGCTTCCGTGGTGTTCCAGTACTGACTGCCAACTGCCCACCAAGATTCCGAGATCCGCTGCCAGGTGTACATGGACGGTGAATAGGAGTATCCCTCACCATTCGACAAGGCAACCACCACACGACCTTCGGAGTTGATTCGGGCGTTTGTGATGGCGGGCGCAGCGCTAGGGTGTGCGCCCAATGTGTGAACAGCAGCGTCAAGCACTGGCTGCAATGAAATAGGCGGATGTGGAGAGGAAAGATGTTTCACATTCCAGACATAGCACATGCCCACAGCTGAGATGCAGAGAATCCAGGGGCCATTGCACTCTAGAATCACTGGCTGTGCCTCGAGTACCAAGGCGCTGACCAGCCGACGCCCAGCTGGCGTCCAGATGTATACCGACCCATCTTCGCAAGCTGCGGCCCACATGCTCAGATTACCTGTTACCAGAAGAACAGTGCGCGGGAGAAAGTCCTGCCACAGAGGCTGCTCGCCACGGAAAAGCGTGAGCCGGACCGGTTCTCGATCAATCGCACGCCCCGTCAAGCTGGCCGGAGATGGATTGCGTGCTTCGAAAACCACGTCAACCCGCGACTTGTTGGTTTCCCCCGGCGCATTGGGCTCTGTCGGTTTCCCAGTCGGATCGATGGCTCGTACTATCTGACTGCGGACCTTCGGTACCGCCAACCGAAGCTGACTGATTGCCATGCAAGGATTCATGACAGCTGGCCGAATGAACTCTGGCGTTTGTTGCTGACCGGTGGGAGCGGGCTGTGGTTGAGCAGGAAGTAGACCGTCGGGCGTGCTTGCCAGAATCGGGGTGGCTCCGTTTTGGCTGGCCAGCGCCACGCGCTTCTCAACATGCCCATCGTCATCCCCTTCTAACTGAGCGAGTTTGCGCTTGTTTCCGAAAAGCAGAGCTGCCAGACCACCCTTGGGTAGCCCATCGAAAGGCTTGGAGAGGTCCACAATCGATTGGGGTGTGTCGGCCTTGACTTGGCTACTGACCGACGCCATAAGTCGGGCTTGTGGAAGAGAGGATTCGGCCGCTCCAGCACCCGATACCAGAAGGGGGGCGATTCGCTTCTTTCCATCCTTCGTATACGTTGGACGCTGCTTCAGCCTTTCCAGCTTTGCCTGGTATGGATCGGGCTTCTCCGGCTCCTGTGCTGCGGGCGTGCTTGCGGTTCCGTTCGGTTGAGACTTTTGTGTATCCGGCGTAGGAGATGCTGCTCGAGCTGGCGTTACACCATTCGATGCTCCTGAGCCAGGTTTTCCATTGGCCGTGCTGTCTGCAGCCGCATGATCGTCACCCATCAAAGCACCCATGCGGCCTTCGACTCCCTTGATCTCTCCAGCTTTACTCTTCTCCTCAAGAAGCAATCCGTCCGTGGTCTCGGTGATGCCGGCGCCCTTTCGGTTCGTGCCAAACTTGGTAAGCGATCTTTCATTCTCCTCCATCTCCATCGCATAGCCTAGATCCCCATCTTCGAACCGCACTGCAAGAATTGTGCCGTCGAGGGCAGTTGCATAAAGGCATTTGCCGTCCGGACTCCATGCCAGGTCAGAAATGGACTTGGCAGCCAGTTCTTGGGCTACCACGATAGGCCTCGGGTTACTGGTGATCCAGATGCTGAGTGACTTATCACCGCCCGCGCATGCAATAACCGTGACGGAGTTGTGCACCACCTGGCCTTGGCTATCCACTGCCGGCTTGGTGATCGGTTGGGGCGAGTACAGCCGCGGAGAGAAAGCGCAAACTTCGACCGGTGCTTCATGCCCAATAAGATTGATGTCGCCATCCCACGAGCCCCGGTTGATGATCGCAACCGAGCTGACGGGGCCGTTCACCGCATTGGCCGCTGCGATGTGCATACCATCTGGGGACCAGGAACACCGGCGGAAGTAGGCCGTCAAAGGGGAATTCGAAAACGGCGCGGAGATAGTCTGTTCAAGCACGAAGTTGTTCATTTGGTCATGAGCGCTGGAATTCGGTGCGGGAGATGTAAAGCGGAAAATTCGAACAGTGCGATCATCACTGGCTGTAGCAAAGTACTTATTCGCCGGATCAAATGTAATGCCCTTGACGTGACTCTGGTGAATAGAAAGGGTCTTGAGCTTCTCGAACGTAGTTCCTGACCACACGACAACCTTCGAATCCAGCCCAACCGAAACCAATATCGAAGAATCATACGACCATCCTAGATCCTGAACATCGTTATCATGACCGATCAATCTCCGAATCGTGCGCCAGTTCTCCACAGGGGGTGCCTCATTCGACCCTAAACACGCAAAATCATCAGTCAACACCACCCCAAACCGTATCCACAACCAACAAGCCACTCGCATCACCTACCAAACGTCGACGCATGAGACGGCGGATTCGCATCCAATGTATAAATGCACACAATCTTATCATCGGCCCCCGAGGCAAGGTATTTCCCATTTGGCGAGAACCGCACCGTATGTATCGTTCCAGAGTGATTGCTCATCGACGCCAGCTGTTTCGGCTTACTGGCTTGTTCCGGGTCCTCGGTGTTGCAGATCGCCTCTGTCGACCATATCCGAACGTATCCATCTGTATCGTACATACAACTTTGTCAATGAACCGTTCCAAGGGTTGAACCCGCCCCCAGGTAAAGGGGATATGTAATATGATCCGGAACTGACCTCCAGCAGCTGTCACCAAGCGACTCCCATCGGGGGATACATCACAACTGTAAACCTCGAAATCCTTCCGTTCGCCTGTATAACAAGATAAAAAGGGAAGAGCGTTAGCCGATGGATGAATACTTTGATTGTGAAAGTTAAGAAACAAGAAGAAGGGTTGCGTCAATGCCAGGATAACAACAGATAGGATACAACATCCTCGACAACGCATCCATTCATCGTTGGCAGAAACCCAAAAGGGAGGAAAGAGAGAGGAAGGAAGGAAAAACATTACCCCCATGTGTCAGCCAAACGGGCTTAATGATATGCATGGCGGAGACACCGTCGATGCCCTGTGTTATAGATGATTCCTCCTCTTTCTATCTCCTTCGGTGTCTGTGTGCGTCCGAGATCGGTGGATTCGTTGGCAAAGTAGGTGTGGTATGTGTGTGCCTGATAATAGTGTAGTGTAGCGTAGTTGCAGGTGCTGATTCGAGGATTAACTTATTTGTACCATCGCAAAGAAGCTTTGTCCTTCCTAGCTCATCGGGTAACGGGGCCCGTCCGATCGCGAGTGAATTAGTGAGACGCAGGAGAGGAGCTCGTGGGGAAGGCAGACGAGAAAAGGGATCGGGAGGGATTCAGCGCAAGGAAAACGGGCGATGAGAGGGCGCGCCTTGGTTTCAATGAATGAAAGTCGCGATCCCCAGGATGGGCGGCGCGGGAGGCGGTGGCCCGAGCTTCTGCCGCCGATCCCAGGGCTCTAGAGTTAAGGGTTAAAGTTGTTGAAGAAATTGACGGAGATTACCGTCGGTAATCTCTACGCTGTCTACGTTAGAGAATGGGGAAGGTCCCTTGAATCCACTTTTGTCTACTGTACATGATCCAGACAAAGACTGACACCCGTTTCGCCAACTGCTAGAAGTGATGCACGCGCTTAACACCCGGTAGCCGTAGCTCTCATTCGAGTAGAACTCCCGGAGCATCATGCATCAGTACCTGACGGGGCACATAGGGCAATAGAGATACAAAATGGGTAGGATAATGGACGATTCATCCAGAAGTTTCGTAATCGGTGATTATAATGAGGCAACCGCGCAAAGGGAGAATGGTCAATCATAGTCAAACAACAAGGCTAAGAAAAGCTAGAAGAACATGGATACCGTTTTGTTCATTGGTGTCTCTGTTGGCTAACCTGGTCGAATCCTCCTAGAACATCCTGAACGGCATCAGGAGTCTTGTGTTCCTTCTCCGCATCGACGTTGTCGTACTCTGGTGTCTGCTCCGACTTGATGCTGGTGGAAGAGGTCTCCTTCTGGACCGGCTCCTGGACTCCCAGGGACTTCGCGGCGATGGTCTTGGCCTGGCTCTCATTGATCTTGCCGTACACAGCCATGGCATTGGCAATCATGCCACCCATGTCGCCAACGTTACCGGGGACAACCACAGCAGTGCCCTCCTTGGCAAGGTTGGAGAAGGCATCAACGTACTTCTCGGCGACGCTGAGGCTGACAGCGCCGTGAGCATTATCCTTACCAGCCTCAATCGCCTGAGCGACGGCGTCAATGCCTCTGGCGGTCGCCTGGGCCTTCAGCAGGATGGCCTCGGCCTCACCCGCAGCACGGTTGATCTGTTCGGTCCGCATAGCTTCGGAAGCCAGGATGACGGACTGCTTCCGACCTTCCGCAATGTTGATCGCGCTCTGTCGCTGACCTTCGGACTCGAGGATTTCCGCGCGCTTCGATCGCTCTGCCGTGACCTGGCGGTGCATGGCCGCAACAACACCCTCCGGGGCGTGGATATCCCTAATTTCGTACCGCAGACAAACAACACCCCAATCGCGCGCAGCCTCGTTGATGGCCTGTGTGATGTTGGTATTCAATGTGGCGCGCTCCTTCAGGACGTGATCCAGCGTAAGCTGTCCGATTTCCGAACGCATGGTCGTCTGCGCAAGCTGAGAAATGGCATACTCGGCATCCTCCACTCCGTAACTAAAGCACGAAGAGTCGCATGATCAGTATTCATCCAATACTTGAAAGAAGATGGCCCTCTTCAGGAATATCTGCACAATAGCTCTGCCGCATCGCACTCACCTGGCTTTATACGCGTCAAAAACCCTCGTGTACAACACTCCGTCCAATTCCAAGGTTACATTGTCGGCCGTGATGGCATTCTGACTGGGTATCTCGATAGCCGACTCCTTCAAACTCTTGACATAGGCAATCCGGTCCAGGAATGGGATCAAAATCGCGAGACCGGGTTCTAGAATCCGATGGAACTTGCCCATCCGCTCGACAATCCATGCTGTCTGTTGGGGGACGAAGCGAACAACGGTGTTGACTGGAAGGGAGGTGCGATTGGAGAAGTAGGTGGGCGGTGCACTAGACGAGGACCCAGAGCCTAGGGGCAGGAACGATGTCTCTGGGGCAAGTCTCCGAGGGGTGCTGGAGGCATTTCTCCGTCGAATGCGGTTCAGAGGGTATGTAGTCGGGAGAGCAGCGCCGGCAATGCGAGGGCTGGAGAGAAGGGATCGGTTATTTGAAGGCCGAATCAGCCTCATTGTCTGTCGAGAGGCCACATCCATTGTGGTAGACAGGAATCTGGGAGGGGGGAGAGAAGGATTAAACTGGCCTGATCGGAGACACTGGAGAAGCCCGGAGTGAAGCTCAAGCCGCTCGGGTGAAGCTGGCTGGCCGCTCCGGTTTTGACCTCAGGCATTAATGCTGAATCAGCGACTCTAGGATGCGGACCCTGCAGCTCTACCATACTCTAGAGATAACCATCTACTGCCTAATTTAAATGGAAAACGATCACATCCACGTCTCTCATGCGGATGTATGTTAGATTGTAGTATAAATATAAATTATAGAACCGCGTCCGGTACGTTCACAAATCAAAGCAAGACTCCTAAGCTATAATGCATTTGATCCTGTTTTTCTTTACCTCGGGCTACTCGTCACATCCCCGACCCAACTAATAGATTACCCCATAATGTAATGTGCAAAACTCTCGTCAGATAAGACCACCGGTATGAAAAGCAAAGAAAGACGGAATGTCAGCAAGGCGTCACCAACTAGGCGTCACCATCAAGCCCAGGGTAACCAGGCCAAGTCAGCAGAGACGCCTATATCAAGTCCTCGTAGCAGTGCGAGCATCTCCCCCACCGTCTGGGGAAGGACCGTTCGGTTGAGTTTGAGTGAAAAAGGTTGGAAATGTAGGAAGAAGAGAAAGGAGCTGTTTATCCTTTTTGGGTTTTCTGGTTTCATTCGTACTAAACATCGACACAAGAAGGGTAAACAATACCACGGTATTAAAAGCAAATAACCCGGATGAACATTCTATGGTCGTGGAAAGAATTTCAGCCCGGCGTATCTCAAAGCAAGCATCAAGAGCAGATAAACACTGCCCAGTAAAACATGCCCGGACTCCAGAAATTTTCGAAACCTCCCATGACTGAAATAGGAAAATGCGAAGGAAACAGAAGAAGATATGCCGAGACTTCCCATGTGCATGAATGTTCCACTTCAATGGACACATGTCGGCGAAAAAAGAAGAAGATAAATGCAAGTCATGAGCAGAAAAAAAAAAAAAAGCGACAATAGTAACATAGATGGTAGAGGAGACAGGGTGAGCGGAAATAGAAGAGTAATAGAACGAAAACAAACGACATAATTACTTTTCCAGCTCGGCTCTCAGGCTATCATCTCAGGTACGGTCTTTTGGTGCCCTTGGGTTCGGACAGGGACTTCACCATAGCGAACAGGGTCTGAGACAGCCTAAGCGTAGCTTGGGTATCAAGAGGATCGCTTCTCGCTCAGTTCTTGGAAAACCGATAAGCTTTCCCAAACCCCCGTCGCTCGTCGAAAGTTGCCGCAAAAGGTGAAGACTGAAGAAGCCGCCGCTGACGTTTCGTGCAAAGAAATCATCAAACGCTAGACTCTTAAATTCATTGTACATTTGTGCATTGAAATTTTGGACCAAGAAACGTGACCAGATTTGGTACAGAACATCCATTCCACGGTCACCGTCTTGGGTTGCCGTTTCGAAAATCGCTTATCGAGTGCTCGTAATCGAAGCGTGTAGAAGTCGTCGAAAGTAAGGAAAGAGACAGATTAGTGAGATGTTCTTCTCGACCCGGATAATCTTCAGCTTTCGCAATCTGACATATGAGCAGCATTTTGGTTCAGGCCTCGCATATTTCATGATTAGACTGCCGAGGAGTCAGTGAGGATAACCGAAGATATCATTCCAGTCTTGCACACCTGAAAGGACAATTGTTGAGGTCCCGGGAACGAAGAAGAATTCAACAATGCACCAATTTATTCAGCCTGCTGTTCAAAGACGTTAACAGATGCCTCGTACAGTTTTTGAAACAGTATTGAAGGATGCCAACTGCCGGATGCGTTGTACGAAAGTAGGCACAAACAGCACGGCCGTAGTCCATCAAAAGTAGCAAGGGGATAGAGTCGACCATCACCGGGGATTTCGTACATTTGTGATTTCAGTCTGGCCATTCTGGGTGCCGGCAGGAGAAAACTCCGGAGCAGTAGACGATAGCGACGTCTTGGCACCGTTGAATTCAACGGTACCGTTGGGGACTTGTCCATTGACAGCCCCATCAACGTAGACCTCTTCAGGCTTCACAGAACTGCTAGGAGAAGGGCCATCATTCTGGGCAGAAGGATCACGCTGGTCCATAGGGAGAACCCATTGCTCCCACTTGTCTCTCGGCCGCAGACGGTCCAGCCCATCTTCAGCTTGAACATACTCGACGCTCCTCAGCTGGCGAGCAACATGGCGCAAAAGCTCGAAGTCATCGGTCAAGCTCTTGACGCGCTTGAAGTTGGCAATGAAAGCCAGCCCAACGTAACCCTGGGAGTCCATGTGTTTGCGGAGGAAGAGATCCTTGCACAAGTTATCCACGGAGAAGTAGTACTCGACCTGCATCGAGATCATGCCAATTTGGGAGTAAGGGTCGTAGTACTGGCCGGCATAGGGGTATGCGGTCATCGGCCCAGCATGCATGGGCTGGTAGCCGTACATTGTGTTGATATCACCAGGGTAGGGGTAGACGCCGTACATGGCAGTGGAGTTCGGCAGGGAAGGCGACCTGATGTTCATTCTGTGGCCTCCGGAACCATTTACAGGGCCATGTTGTTGCGACCTCTGGCGATCGTTGAAGCTGAACTTGGGGTGCATGAAGTTGTGGTGCGACATGTGGTTGTTGGGGAAGTGGGCGTTCTGAGCACCATTGAAGCCAGCATGGCCTCCACGGCCTCCCCGATGTCCGCCACGTCCTCTCTCGGGACGCGACTCACGAGGGAAGTCCTTCTCTTTGCGCTCGCGGTCGGCGTTGAAGCTAGCAAAATCTGCCGACTTGGGGCCATTCTCGAAGCGACGGTCCTGGCGAGGACCGGCCTGGGCATCCACGGAAAGCTGGGGGTTACGAGACTCACCACCCTTGTGGCCTGCATCATGGCCCTTAGCGAACTGCTTGGCATGGTGGCGGGGGAAAGTGTCTGCCCCGTTAGCGTTTCTTCCGGCCGGTGCTCCATTTGCGTTCTCTCCCTTGGGCCCGCGGTTGCGGTCCGCTGCCTGGTGTTTACGCGCGTCTGGCAGTCCAGCATCGGCGCTGTTGGAGCGCCTTGACTGGGCGGGAAGCGAGTTGGCGCGACCGGAGTTGTGCTCGTTTCTTCCTCTGTCAGCAGAGGTAGCCTGCTTTGCCGTAGAGCCCTGTGCAGCCTGGCCGGAAGCCTTATCAGCACCGGCTCCAGCGCCATGCGTTCCATTGCGGGAGTTTTCGCGTCCACCACGAGCAGCCCTTCCGCCTCTACGAGCAGAGGGCAGAGGGGTGTTGAACACAGCGGTGGGAACGTAAGGAACGGGCATCCACTTCTCCTTGCCGTGAGGGCGGATGACAGGGCTCTTCTCAGTCTTGTCGGACTTCTCCTGAGCCTTCTTCTTCTCCTCACCCTGAGCAACCTGGGGTGTAGGCCACAGGCTCTCGTCTCCAACAGGAGGGATGCTGGCGCCATCATCACGTCCCTTACTTCCGTCAGCCTTCTTCCGGTCCTTGGCGCCCTCCGAAGGAACGTCAGATCCCTTCTTCTTGGAGGCCGGTTTCGACTCGGCTTGATGATCACCAGACACTGAGGAAGCGGCGGACGCAGTCTTCGAGGTGCCCTTGGAGGCAGGCTTCAATGCGGCAACGGCCTTGGCCTTGGCCTCTTGCGCCTCTTTCCGCTGCTGCCAGATGTTCACGGAAGGGAGCGGGGCAGCCTTCAGCTCCTTAGCAGGCACAGCCTTTTCCTTCTCAGCGTTCTTGTCCTTCGTGCTGTCTGCTCCAGTATTCGTCTTCTCGGTACCCGAGGCTTGGGACTTGTTGTCCCAGGTAGATTCCGAAGTACCGTTGGGGGTATCTGTTCCGTCCTCATCCTTGGGGACAGATGACGTGGAAGAGTTGCCATCACTTGATGCTTCAGAAGCGTTGGCCTTGGTAGCTGTAGATTCGACTTCCTTCTCGATAGTGTGGGTCACCTCGGTTTCCTGGGCTGTTTCGGCCTTGGAAGGCACGGCATCTGCATTCGTCTGCGAGCTAGAGTCCACACTCTGCTCCTCCGGCTTCGAACCCGCTTGGGTCTGTTCTTCCGGTGATGTCTTTGCGGGGGACTGCGCGGGAGCAATGCCCTTTGCTGCTTGAGCGTAAGAAAATGAAGCGGCCATTTTCGATACGTGAGAAATAAACGCGGTCTATGAAGCCCGTTCTAGTGAAGAAAAGAGGATAGCGAAGAAGTCAGTTCTACCAGAGAACAGATACCTCCGCAATGAGCTGTCAACCGAGGTTTGGTTGGAATAACTCCAACAACGATGGCAAGAAAAAATCGCTGCCCTTGAGCAACCCCACCAAACGCAACTTCCAGTAACTGATTATTGAACCTATTCGGTAGCGGACGGCTGAACTGGCGTTTGTCCAATCGGTCAAAGACGCGGTCGATGAAGTGTAGCGTAACAACCGATGTAGTCGGAAGATCCCTTAACTAATGTTGAAACCTAGCACACAAATCGCATCCAATATGCTCTCGCACGGCACTATTTGTGTCCAGATCCGCTAAACGGCGAACGAAGAAGGGCCAACAGGAGTCGATGTAGAAATCGTGAGACGAGATCGCTTCGGTAGGAAGGTGTCCAAAGGAGGTTTCTAACCGATTCGTTCGACGTGCTTGTTGTAAGACTGGCTACAATAAGCACTCGCGGTGTGCGGTTATGATATTCGGGCCGTCGGAGAATCCAACTGCGCTGCCTCTTGGCTTGGTGTCGTATCGACGATCACGTAAAGAATCGATATACGCTGGTGTTTGCGAGAGAACTCGTTAACCTTGCACCTTCGAAAGCGTTAAAGCGTAAACGAGGCGCGACTTGCACGTGGCAACAACCGCTACAGAACTTGGTGGGTTTGAAGATTTGCCAGGTACGGAAGGGCAAGAGGGAAAAAAAAAATGTAAGGAGCTGCGACGGAAAAAAGTTCGAGGCAGGACCCGTGCGGAGAAAACAAAAAATAGACTGAGCAAGAAGAAAGTGATCAACGATCAAATTAACTTGTCAATGAGGAGGGAAATGGGCAGGAAAAAGAAAAGTAAGGTAGACGGTGGTCCCGCTGAATACAAGGATACCTCTGTCTGTGTGTGAAGGAGGATCTCGGAGAACGGAAAAAAAGGCGCACTGCAGAAATGGAGCACCACCTCACTATAGCAACACGGGTCACGGGTAACCGACGGAGGGAACCACAGGGAGGGACAGAATCCCAAAATGTTGGAACAGTGAAGAGGGGAGGGGAGGGGGGAATAGAGAAGAGGGGGGTTAAAGGGAAGAAACAAGAAGGAAGAGAGAAGAGAGAGAGAGAGAGAGAGAGAGAGAGGAAGGGTAGAGACTGTGTGTGTAAGAGAACGAAAAATAATAATGGAATAAATCACTTACAGGCCGGAGGGACGTGGAAAAGCCGAAGAAGGCAGGCAAGAAAAGTAAGTACTAGTCAGAATTGTGGAATCCGCCAACAGAGGGTTAATAAAAAAAAATTGCACAGGAGGTTTCTACTTTCAAGGTACAGTAAAGTAATCGAGTTTTCCGCATGTAATAACACTATTGTCTTGCCAAATAATACGGGTATCAATGGTACCTAGTTTGTACCATGATTCCTACAGTTCCGAACACCAGGACGGGCTCTGCTCAACCAAGGGCAGAAAAGAGGTAAGGGCGTAGGAATTAAGTCCAAAAAATCACAGAAAAAATAGTGGTGAAAATTGTTATTCCTGCCATATACCCACATCGTCGTCTCACGATGTGGTTCGTGGACTCCAGGGTTTCTGTGGGTATGAACCGGCCTTTCACTTGTGTTGGAGGTAAATATTCCGGGTAAAGATCTGGAAGTTGTATGTAAGTACCAGCAGATGAGTTTGGATTGCTAATGGATTCTGCTGGATTCTGATGGGTGTTCACATTAAAACCTTTAGATCGGAATTACGGCCATTGCAAATGAGAAAAGAGGTGGAAATATTCAACATAGTATTTTCAAATCGAGTATTTGTACTGCTATCGGTATCCCTAGATATGAGACCGCCCATACTAGCTATCATGCGGGCCGTATT